ATATATTGTGGCAAATACCAAACTGACCAAGTAAAACAGTCTTTGAGGAGGTTTTATAACTGGGGTTTTATACATTTTCATATGAAGTCTTGGATTTTTTCTTAAGGCTTCTTTGGTCAGCATTTCTATTCCTAGTGATATTTTAATCTGTTCGTGATATCAATTATTTTAGTTACAGCCATGATATCTCCTTCTTTCTATATCCGCTTCTGTTTCTTTCAGTTTACACAGTTTTGTTTAATGTATTCGAAATATTTATTAATAAATTATTTGAAAAATTATTATTATATTTTTAAGCTTATAAACTAAAAATCAAAGCAAGACTTCTGCTCTTTATTTATTATTTTATTTATATGAGAAAGTTATTAAGGAAAGGTCTCAGGCCTAGATTTAAGTGCCTTTTTTTTTTTTAATATGTTCTATTAGAGGTGTCAAACTATCGATTGTGTGCCCCATCGATTGAGAACGATAGTCATTTCCAAAGCATCGATAGTGGTCGATAGTACCATCGATAGTGGTCAATAGTCGCAATAAAAACATTGATTCTTAGCCTTAAAAATTTGAACTTTTATGAGCAGAGAACAGTTCTATATTATTCATTCTGAATAGAGCATATCCTTTAACAATTTATATCATTTGAAAAGCATATTTATGCATCTCTCAATATTATTGTTATCAATTATTATAGCAGCCAAGGAGCCGCTCAAATCAAATCTGTTGAACGAAAGACCCTCTGGCCAAATTCAAATATGCTTGACATGATTATGGAGCTTAAGCCGCGTAATCTCGTTTTATTTTTATCATCACACAGGAATACCCCTAATAAAAGAGCAAAACTGTTCAAACAAAAGCTCTTCCATAAATGCGATTTTTTATATTATTACTGCAGGAGCAGCAGGAGTAGTAGCAGCAGTAGCAGGAGTAGCAGGAGCAGTAGCATTTGCTGCGATTCCCTTAAGACAAATGTCAATGCAGCTTGCTGCGAAGGGCTAATAAAATAAAGCTGATCATTCGCTATATATGTATGTGGACCAGCCATAGTTTCCTTTTCATAGGACTGGGCTTTGTGTATTCCCTCTATAGGTTTTTGTGGTTAGCTCTTGGCTTCGTTATGCAGCAGTTGCTCTGTGCTCGGTGGGCGGGTGTGGCAAGTGTGGGGCGAGTGCGTTGCATATCTTTGCGCAATTGTTGTTCGTGTTCAGACAGTTGTTGTTGTTGTTGTTGCTGTTGCGTTTGTTGTTGCACCTGCTCACTGCAACTTGGAACTTTTAACGGTTTCCTAACTGTTGATAAGACCCAAAACTTGGTAACTAGTTTATGTTTGTTTATATACTCGTTCGGCTTGGTTCGTAAAAGAAGAGTATATTGGTTTTTGATAATATATGGAATATATATGGAATAGGTCAGTTTTGATTTGCTTAAGAGTTTTGCTTGTTGACCAAGTTTATCTGCTCATTTAGAGGCGTGGCATATCTGGAATGCATATCCTCCACTGCCTTGCAACTGCAGTTGTCCAATTCAAGCGCTGATAGTCCGGGAAATCGTTATCTTCCTTAAGATTTCTCTCTATATTGACCAAAAATAGAATATGTATTACTCATTGGGGCGTGTCAAGCAACAAACAGCAAAACAAAGAACTCTAAAGCTGAAGAAGTTGTTTTTTTTTTAACTACATGTAAAATTTTGTGTAAAACGTTTCATTTAAGAAAACTTTCAAGGAAAGAAAAATACAAAAAAAATAGAAAAAAGCCAAACGGACATGCACAAAACCTATACACTCATTTATGCACCTGCATGAATGAGTATAAAAACAAAGCAAAATGTCTTAAGTGGTAAAGACTTGGCAGTTAAAATTATCATATATTTATAATAATAAATAATATTATTTATATTATTATATTATATATTAATTTTAATACATTTTTATTCCAATACATATTTATATTAAATAAATTTTTTGTTGGCTCTGCACGGTATCACACAGTCGTGTATGCCCAATCGGCTCTCCGTTTACACGCAGCTACTGGCGCCGTTATTTTTGCTTTGCTCATTTGGCAGCCTTTCGCTAGCAGCTCGCAGCGCTGACTCTTTCGTGGCACCTTAATTAGAACGCAACCAGTGCAGGCTCTGGCTCACTCTCCCTCGGCCGCGCCCCCTTGCTCTAGTCATGCAAATCGTTGTCTTGTTTACATTTTTAGCCATGAATTTTTGATGGCATTTGAGCTTAAGCCTTAAACTGGCTTTCTATTTGTATGTGCATGCGTGTGTGTGTGTGTGTGGCATGTAGAAAGCAAAGCGGAAAACACACATTACACAATACGCACACACACACACACACATAGACAGACAATATGTGTCGTGCCCCATGCGGAAATCACTAAAGGCATTTCCTGTCGCAGCGCCAACAAATGCTGTAAAAATCATGAGAGCCGCACGCAGCTAACATAATGCTACCTATACATGGACATACATATGTATGTATGTATGTGTGTAATATATACACATAGATAAGCTGCGCACGATAAACGTGCTTAGCGCGGAGCCGAGGTCAATGGGTCGACGCTTTAAACAGCAGCTGCCTCGGCTGGCCTGGCAAATGTCAGCCATACTTGTCATAATATGCCCACACTATGCACAGCAGACACACACACACGCACGCACACATAGCTACTCACACACACACACACACAGCTAGCAAATGCCGCAACACTTTGGCGCAAGAAAAAAATTACAAGACGCAAGACTCTGTTCTATGTAGGAGGCTGTATATGCGTGTGTGCGTGTGCGTGTGTGCGTGTGTGCGTGTGTGTGTGTGCCTGTGGCATATTTCTAAAAGATGCTCACACACACACACACACTCCTGCAGCGCAGCCATGCAAAATATGCCCACATTAAATAACTTCAATCTACTCTAAAGAACTTGTTTATGCTGCTGCCCACATACTGCCACGCCCACGCTGGCTTATGGGCTGGCGCGCTATTTGACATCTTAGCCAGCAGGAATTTATGTGGGAATCTGCTTTGAAAGTGTCTGTGTGAATGTGTGTGTGTGTGTGTGTGTGTGTGTGTGTGTGTTGGGGCTTTCACTCTGAATAGTTTGTTTATCCTTTCATTTTTTTTTTCTTCTTCTTCTTCTTTTTTTTTTTTTGCTTCAGCTTCATCTGCTTCTTTGAGCAGCTGCTTTTTCTTGTCGATTTCTTCATCTCTTTTGGCTTTATCGCTTGACTTTGGCTACTGCTTGGCTCTGATTTGCATTGTAGCACACCAATACATATGTATATACATATGTATATATGTATGTATGTAAACTATATAATATTTGGACTACGGGGATCTTATTGCAATCTCTTTGCTTTGCTAATGGATTTGAGTGAGCTGACCAAGAGCAATGGAAATCTGGCCAAAGGCGACACATCCGAATGTAAATTGTAATATTTTTTTTTCCTCTTTGTTGTAGTTGTTGTTGTTGTTGCTCAAGTCAATATTGATATGAAATAAGCGAGTAAAATGCAGGCAACGAGGGTGGCTTGAGTAGTATGGTAAAGGCAGCAAATGGAAATTTATCTTTAGGCTAAATTATATAAAGGAAAATGTTTTTATTGAATATTTATAAGCACGTAGGTAGAATGAATCTAAAGTGGTGAAGTATTTAGTTATTTTTAAAGCCTGACATATACAGGTTATACATCACAGTATATATTAATTGAAATATAATAAATGTTTTATATATCTTTGGAGTAAAAATTTAAATCAATAATCAAAAATATTATTTGACTTTATGCTTAAAAGATTTAGGCAATTTTCAAGCTAAATAAATTGACTAGTTCAGACTCTCCAATATATTTAAAAACCTGTAAAAAAAAAATATTTAAAAAAAAATAATAATAAATACATAAAAACATTTTTGTATATTTTTTTGGTTTACATAATAAATTTTTATTCTTGAAAAACTTTTTTTTTTTTGTAATAGAAAACTTTACAAGGAAAATATAATATTGTAATTATAATGAAAATAATATACATAGTAATCAGAATATATTTAAATATTAAATATATATATATTTATATACATATATACTATATATAACTGTACAATAGAATTGCTTTTGCAATTCCGTTTTCTTTTCTTTTTGGCACAACTTTGACTAAAAATACAAAAATTTTGGTTTTTCTTTTTACGGCCGTATGAAAATATTTACAATGAGCTGGCAAAAGAATTGCTAAACATTTACATTAGAGTTACACAGTCAGGGAGAGAGAGAGAGAGGTGAAGCATGTGTTAGAGTGAGATGGCAGCAATGCACTTTTGCTAAGACACAAAAATGCAAAGTACCAAAAAAAAAAAAGAAACAACACTAACAACAATTTGTATTTCTTATGCCTTGGTGCTTGGTCGAAAATATAAAAATTACTTCGTTTACATTTACAAGCATTTGGGGATAAGTGTGAAAGAGAGAGGAAGACAGCGACAGAGTAAGAGAGAGAGAGAGAAAGATAGTGGGAATATGGCAGCAAACGGTCACGCAGTGACCAGACAAGCAATAACACTTGACGCACGTCCGGGCTACCCGTGTACGTGTTCCGGAGTAGCCACTCAGGTGGTTCGATGGTGCAACCCACCGAAAGAAGAAAAATTGGGAGAAAGTGGCACAGAGAGAGCCAGTGAGGTGTGCATGACTAGCAGTTGGTTGGAGCTATAGAAAATAGAAAATACTTAATGTACGAAAATATTGTAGAAATAGCTACATAACAAATTTGAACCTTATCGCTCATATAATTCTCGAGTTATGCTAGAAAAACTAAGATTTTTGGTCATAAGAAGGAAATCGTGGGGCTATAGATGAAAACTTAACATTAGAACTTGCAAAACTCAAATATCTATATCAAGGGATTTATAAATTTATATACAATATAGTAATATATGTTTTAAATAGGTAATTTGAACCTAATAGCTCTTATAATTCTTCAGTAATGCTCAAATATCCAAGTCTTATCGATATTTTAGCTAAATGGCTAAACTTGAAGAGCTCAAGACTTCACAAGTCTGCTGTATATGATCTCAAGTCCTAGAAATCTTATCTGCTGCTAGTTACATATCAATGGGTATAACCGGTATACCCTCTTTGGCCATTTTGAATGGGCAGCTAGAGTGAAAAAAGGCTAGACAAAACTCTCCTGACGTGTTAAATTGAATTTCAGCGTTGTCCTTGCTTGAGCCTCGGGCGTCTGGTGGCTGCTCCTAAATGTTGCCACAGCTCCAGCGCCAGTTCCTGTGCCCGCTGCACCCACACCAAGGAGCAGCTGCTCCTGCTGATGTGCTTGCAGCAATTGTCGCGCCAGCTGCGAAATGTCTCCACTGTAACCGTTGCTATGATCCAACTGGGCGGCGTTGCTTCCACTTGCCGATGTTGTTGCTGCCGTTAGAGATTGTCGCAGGAGATCGGGCAGATGCCACTGCTCCAGGAGCTCGGCGCCCAGCTGATGCGAGTGCTGGACAAGCCGTGTCAGCGTATAGAGTATGGCCTTAATGCTACGCCGCTGGGCATCGCATTCGGCACGTGAGTCGTAGGACTTGTAGAATTCCGTTTGGTAAACGGACGTGATGAAATTTATGATGATGCCATTGGCCAAGTGGCTGTGGCACTTCTTGTTCAGCGACATGTTGTGCAGCATCCCAACGATTTGCTCCTGTGTTCAAACGATAAAAGGACACAAAATGTTGATGAGCAACACAGAGCGAAAAATACGTAAAAAAAGAAAGAAAGGAAAACTGAACGGAAAGACGGAAAATGCTTACAACCAGCGGGCAGTCAATCTGATGCTCTATAGATGTGCATGTGTGTGTGTGTGTGTGTGCTTTCTGGGGCAAAGGCAAATGAAAAATCGTGGCCAAGATTGTGAAAAAATTGCTTTGCAAATGCACAAATAAATTTTACGAGCTCTCTACAAGGCAATGCTTTCAATAAAATTGGTGCAAAAAAAAAAGAAGAGAAAAGTGAAAAGTGAAAGAGAGAGACGAACGCAACCAGGGCTGAACGCATGCCAAAATTTAAACGAACTTAAATAGTTCCAAACGATGGCTTCCATTGAAACAATGGCAATGGAACAGAGTTGATTTATGAACTAGTCTGAAGGGGTTTAGATTGGCATTGATAAATGAACTGAGAAATGAGGCCGATAAGTCTTAGTTAAAAATCTTAAATGGAACTGGATATGGAACGCCTAGCTTAATGGGAATTCGGAATAGAATAGAATGGAAATCCTCACAAGTGGAACCGGAAATGCATTTATTGATACCATACATCATATGCCTATATTAGTTCCCTTTACTTATTGCCCATTTCTAAGATTATTTACTAGTTCCATGAGTTCTAGCTCCACACACTGGCTTTACGCACTAGTTTTATTTGTTAATTCCAGGTACTAGAAGCACTTATTACTTTTTAGCGCTTATAAACTCAGTTAACTTGGTATACCCCTGGTTCTATTTACAGTTAACTTGGTATACCCTGGTTTTATTTACTATTCTAGTTCTAGTTCCACTATCCATTTACTAGTTCCACTTACTAGTTCCACCTAGTTGAGTGACCTATAAGTTCCACATACTAATTCCATCCACATGCTCCAATTACTAGTTCCACTGGTTCCGCCCACTAGTTCCATCTTCTGGTTCCACTCACTAGCTCCACTTAAACCTTTAATATATTGACTAGTTCTAATGACGATTTCAGGCTAGATACTTCTCACTCACTAGTTCAATGGAAATGTACTAGTTCCACTTACTAGTTCCATTTACTAGTTCCACTACTAGTTACACTTACTAGTTCCACCTACTAGATCTACTCTATCGTTCAACCCACTCATTCCAATCGCCAATTCTAATAATACTTCCACCTAGTAGTTTCCACAAACTTGTCTCATTTACTAGTTCCACTCACTAGTTCCACACACATACACAAACACACACGGAGACTCATCTTAGCTGCCAGCCCTATCTTTCGAGTCACGCATACTTACATAGAGAAAGACGCTGATGCCGCTGCTCTGATGCTCGAGCGTTGAAATCAACCTGAAGATGGCCTCGTTGGACATGATGGAATAGTGTGAGGTGACCTCCATCCGGCTGAGATTGTTGAGCGCCGCAGCGCAGAGCAGCAGGGTCTGAGCGCAGCAGTCGGGCTGCAGCAGCGCTGCCAAGCCGGCAACCAGGGACTCGGCGCTGTCCCTCAGTCCGGCAACGCGATGCTCCGGCCCGTGCCAGCTGGCCGTGATCTGGGCGAGCAGAGAGACGGCCTCGCGCCGCTCAATGGCACCGCGCTCCACCGTGCTCTGGCCCACCTGAAGTATATCCCTCACTATTTCGATGCCGCCGCAGTTGCCCAGCTGGGCGATCGCCTGCGGTGCACAGCAGAGCGTGGCCAGGGCTCGCAGGGCCAGGGCGCGCACCGAGCTGAGCTTGTGATCGAGCACGATGACGAGCAGGGCTCGCACCGCCTCGTTCTGCACGAAGGCGTCGGAGAGCGAGGCGAAGCCGTCGTAGTCGATGTTCATCAGGGTCGCAATCATATTGATGTTCGCTCGCAGCAGCAGATCGCAGCGGCTCTGCTCGACGCTCAGCACCAGGATGCGCGCCAGACGCTCGAAGATCAGTCTGAGGGTGATCAGCGTGTGCCGCTTCAGCAGCTGCACATCGTCCAGCAGCGACTCCAGATTGATGTAGTGCTGTCGCTCCAGCGAGTAGCGCGTGTCCCGGCTGACGGTGCGAATTTGCTCGAGATGCTGCTCGTAGCGGCGCCGCTCCACGCGCGCATCATTGAAGAAGATGCCGCGTCGCTCCAGCACGCAGGTGAACTCGTCCAGGTGGACGAGCAGCTGTGTCGCACCGGCCAGCGCCTCGGGCAGCGTCGTCGCCTGCTGCCCGGCCAGGACGCGCTCGCAGCGCTCGAAGTGCGTCTGCAGATTCAGCGCCTGCTGCTGGAGCTGCCGCATCAGCTTGGCCACGGCGCTGGTGGTGATCGTGAAGTTCTTGTAGGCCTCCTGGGCAATGGACTTGTGCTGCAGCATGCACATCACCTCCGGCTCGCAGTTCCAGCGCTGCTCGGCGCGCCAGCTGTGGACGGCCTGCAGCTTGAGCTTGTTGGACCTGCTGTGCGCCTTGGGCGTGCTGGTGCTGGCCGTGAAGCGGGAGAGTGCCGCGTAGTTGACGGCGTCCTTCTTCAGGGTGAGCGTCTCGTCGAGATTGGACTCCTGCCCGCCGAAGGTAACGGTTTCGTTGTTGTAGGGCGGCGGTGCCTCGCCCAGATAGATGGTCTCGTTGTTGTAGGGCGGCGGTGGTGTCACTGGCGCCATGAACTCGTCCAGCTCCTGCTCCTGCTCCTGCTCCAGTTGCTTCTCCTCTGCCTGCTCCTGCTCCAGTTCCTGCTCCTTCGATTTGCTTTTGCTCAGGCGTTTGCGTCTTCGCACAGCTGGGCGTGGCGGCGTCGCCGGATTCATTGTCTTATCCTGGTCCACATCAGCCAGCTCGTCCAGCTGCAGGCTATCCAGCTGCTCGAACAGGCGACTGCGACTCGCCTCCATGTCGTCATCCTCCTGCTCCGGCTCGTCCTGTTGCTGTTTGAAGGATATGCGACGCGTTACGCTGACCAGCGGCGAGTAGAAGGACGATTTGCCCACACGCCGTATGACAGTGGGCGGCGTCGCTATCGAGCGTAACGATGTGGGCGAGGCAGTGGGCGTGGTTGCTGTGGCAGCTGTCACAGCTGTGGCCGTCTGGCTATTGTGCTGCTCCTCGTTGTCCGAGAAGCCCGAGTCCTGCAAGCGAAAACCAATTTCAGATATTAGCTTGGAGAGAACTGCAAAGGGGGCGTGTTTGCCGCTTACCAAGGGGAACAATATGAAATGGAACAGGCAGAGATAATAAGCGGAATGTCTAATAGTTGCCCCATTATATGATGCAAGGATATATGGTATATGACTTGTGACCTTAGGAGAGTACATATGGAATGGAACGGAATGCTTCTTGAGTATTGGGAGTCATATAGAATATATGGAGGCTTATGAGTGGAGGAATGTTGGAATGAAACAGGAATGAGAAACATAATTTGAGTCTAATAGAACATATTGAAAAACTTATCCAAATGAAATACATGATACATAGAATGGAATGCTGGAATGAAACAAGAAGCTGAACAATTTTTTTTATAAGGACAAAAAGAATTTTGAAATAATGAATGCTCAAATAGCTTGTAACCTAAATGGAACGTTGGAATGAAACAACGTAATGTATAGTAGTGCTGCATTTGCAGTAAAAATTCTTGAAATTCCCCATCAATGGAATACATATTCAAATTTCAATACAGAAATTTAAGAAGTTCAAGTTTCGCCTTAAAGTGTTCCACTGCCACTCGTTTCCATGCGCCCCACTTTGACTTTCCTTACGGAGTTCGGAGCACGCTCCGCTTGACTGGACTGCTTGAATTATTTTAGATAACGCACCTGACTGCGCAGACTGCCCGGACTGTCGTGCTTGTGCCAGGAGAGCTTCGAGCTGTTCTGCTCATCGTCCACCTCCTGGATGCTGGACAAATTGCCGGCGTGTGTGCCCAGATGACGCTCCAGAGATGCGGGCTGTAGCTGCTGCTGTTGTTGTTGTTGTTGTTGTTGGATGTGGTAATTGTAGTGGGAGTAGAGGCCGCCGCCCGTAAAGCTGCCGCCGCCCAACTGTTGGCTATCGGAGCCCCACCAGACTTTGCTGTAGCTGCGCTGAAATGCCATGGCCTGCCATAGAAAGAGAGAGCGGGAGAGAGAGGGAGAGAAAATGCAAATCAGTTCTGTGTGTCAATCAATTAATGAAATTGCCTCATTTGTGGGCAGCGCTTTAAATTTGATCAAGTTAAATGCAATTGACGCCTGCTTAATTCATTTTCCAGCCCGAGGCCTCGAGGCCACGGCCACGTCAACAGCAACTTTTTGACCAGCTGCCTGGAATAAGTTTTAAATACAGCAGGCCAAACGCCCACGCAACGTAAATAAATAAACCAACCAGAGAGCGAGAGAGAGAGAGAGAGATGTATGTATGTGTGTATATGTATAATAATATCCGTTACGGCAAAAAATTAAATTTCCGGCAAGCGACACAAATCATTATTTTAATCAATATACGATGTTTGCCTTTTCATTTCAGCTTTGTTCGCTTGCGCATTTCGCTGAACTTTGAACTGAACTGGAATGTCAGTTGACACAATAGAAGAACAGCTAACAGAGATACGCACAAAATTTAGAGAGAGAGAGAGAGAGAGAGAGAGAGAGAGAGAGAGTTGAGCACCTCTTGAAAGTCAAAATGAAGCGAAAATAGCTGGACAAATATTGATTTGATTCTATAAATAGGAGTATAACATGTGAGAAATGTTGATTAGATTGAAGTGTGTATACTTTCCTAATCAGCAGCAGTTAATATGGGGTATATTGCGGTGTATATGCCTAAGCGATATGTATTCCTAATCAGCAGACTAGATGAGGCAGCTTCGCCTCATAATCGTGTCATCTATCATATATCATCTATAAGCTCTCAGCTATCTAATACCATATATCGTTTATCATCTATTATATCATATATCATCTATCGTATATGAAGTATCATTTAATATATATATTATCTATCATATTCATTCATATATCATTCTATTAAATATTTCCCATTATAAATCATATATATCAGTTCTTTCAATAGTAAATTCATCTATGAAAATCTTTGAAATAATGCAAACATTGATAAGCAAATATAATATTAGGGATAGTTCACAGTTTTTACAGAGAAAGTCTTAGCATCAGACAACCTCATTATATAGTTCTATAATTAAGAATTTACATGCAATTTAATGCCTGATCGGTCAAGTTTTCTATTTGACGTAAGTGCTCGATGTGCTTCGCCTCAACTGTCAAAAGCTCTAAGAAACATGTTACTTAGCAGACAGACAGAGAACGAACGAATGTGTGAGAGCAAGAGAGAGAGAGAGAGAGAGAGGAGTAGAAATTTAGCTTTTAGTTGCACATCTTAAGAGGCAGACAGAGTGCGAGTGCGAAAGAAGTAGAAACTCGGTTCTTAAGTGCACATCTCAAAAGACAGGCAAAGAGCAAGAGTGAGAGAGACAGAGTGAGAGCGAGCGAGAGGCAAGTAGAAATTTAGCTTTTAGTAGCAATCTCTAATGCAAAAGTTGCTGTTATCAAAATGACATTTGACATATGGCACAAACATGCTTAGGTCAAAGTAACACAGATGCCTATCGCTCCCTCTCACTCCCACTCTCTCTCACTCTGCGGTCATCTCTATTTGTAGCTAGCCCAGAGTAAATGTGGTACATATATAATTGTGTTATAATTTCAAAGTAATTGATGTGATGCCAAATTGTGGCCAGGTATTTATGCAGATTTTATGGCCCAAATGGCTCGCCAGCAGCAGGCGACAGTCCAGCAAGCTCCTCTATTATCCAGGCCTTCTCTCTGTTTCTGGCCTGGTTGCTGTTACCAAAAGTTGCAAATGCAAATGTTGGCCAAAAACCATTTACGCTATATTATGCAAATGAATTAAAGTAATTATGCCGCACCAAAATTTTGGTTGGGGTTGACAGCAAATGTACATATGTATCTATTTATATATAACAGATATATACATATGTATATATACATATGTATATATTTACATTGTGAACATTTCCTGTTAACTGTTTTTCCCATATTTTTTATTCGCATTCACATTTGTTGGTCTGCTCTTGGCATAATTACAATGAAACACACGGAAAATGAATTTTCGTCTATATTTTGGTTGATTTTTGGCGATTTTGTTTCATTTTGCGTAAATATTTACAGAGTATATTTCAGCTAAAATCATAATAAAACGTTTCGAAATTACTTTTGCCTCCCTCCTGTGCATATTGTGCATGGGGAAAAAAAACTCACAGGCAAATAAAAATACACTAAAAAAAATACAAATCAAAACAATTAAAATATGTCCGAATAAATATTTGATAAAAAAGTGCGCAGAGCGTGAAAAATAATATTATAAATGCTTTCAATTGATATATGAAATACTCTAAAGGAGTTTTTATTTGCTTACAGAGTTTTTATGATTTTTATATAGATGTGTTTTTATGATAAAGTTGCTCTGAAAAAAGAGTCAACTATGGGGAGTATTATGGAATATTTGCAGTACGTGGAGCTGTGAGCATAGTTAACTGGATATTGTTACCTAGAAAAGTTAAGTTAAATGTACTTTACAGGGTATTCAGTATTGCTTATAGCTTACAGAGTTAGAGTTTACAGGGTATTTAAAGCTTAAGCTGCTTTGAATGTAATTTATAGATTAATTGCAATTTAAGCTAATCGATTCGAAGCAATATATGAGACTTTGTTTGATTATAGGGTATTTAGTAGTCCATAAAGTATTATAAAAGAGATTTAAAAGTTTATACAAATCATATTTTACTCAAAAATTGATCTTTTTGTATAATATATAAATATTTATAAGTATATAGATAAGAAAACACAAAGCACTCCATTATTTTTTGCAGTGTATATCAAAAATATTTATTCACTCTTATATATAAAAATTATATTTATGCCACATCAATCAAATGTTAGTTTATTCAATTTTCCAACACTTTTTTGCTTCACTACCCCAATTTCTCTCAGTGTATGCACTACCTCTCTCAATTTGAGCTATTTATTTACATATTTATTCAATTCATTAAATGTCATTAAATCACAAATATTATTAGTGATATGCTGATATTTATTCAACATTTAGCGCAGCTCTTAAATTAATTGCTTAAACAATTTTTTATTGAACTGATTAAAATTTATTAAAAATTACAAAAAAAAAAAAATCAAATAAATTTTAAGCAAATTTATTTTGATTTTCGTTGAAATTAAGCGAGCAAAATAAATGTGGCCGGCGACTAATTAATGGAGAGCTTTACAAGTTAAGCTGCGCACTCGAGTGAGGGGCGTGGCACGGCTAAGGGGCGTGCCGGAGTGCGTTGAAATGCGCTGTGCGAAGGCTTGCGCAATAAATATTGCGCAATTGCCAATGGAGCTTGCAGCAAGGCGATAAAAATTAACGGTACTTAATGCCAATATGGAAAATCATTAAGTGATTTATGCGAACAGAGAAACGGAGAAGGAGAGGCAGAGGCAGAGGCAGATTGTGAGACAGAGAGAGAGAGAGAGAATACAAATGAGCATGCAGCAACGATATATATATATATATATATGTATGTATGTATATCGGGCGATTAATATTTGTCAGCGCTCTTTAAGCACTTTCCTGCACACAAAGCCAAAGAGATGGGGAGTGCACGACTAGGAGATGCCCTGGAGCATAACCAAAGCAGTTGAGTTGATTGATTTTACTGAACTTAATGGCAAAAGTTATCGATTATATGTGTCACATGTATAAATAATCGATAAATTCACTTGAATTTGTAGATATGTACATATATTTATAACTTGTATCAATACAAATCCTTCATTTAAAGATATGTTGAAATTCTCTACTATAAAGTCATACATACTATATATACTATTATATGTTATCATATCTCTACAGTACCCAAGTTCCACCTCTGCTTTCATCATACCCCATTTAGCTAGCTTCAGCTACAACAAAAACCAGAAAATTTTTCGCACGTGAGAATGTAAATAATGAACGTAAAAGATATTACGTGTTATTGTCCGGCTACGGCACAGGGATTACGCACATAATATCTGAGTTTTATGGGGCATGAGGCGGGCGCCAGGCGAACAGCTGCTAAAATTAATATCCGAGATGGTAATTAATGTGTCTCTAGTCTATAGTCCATAGTCTAGACAGATGGCATTAAATATAAGTAGATATCGTATAGCTATATGGGAACTTAAGGAAGAAATAAAAGATAAGGAATAAGGATAGGAAAATATCAAATATTTCCAAGTTATTTAGAAGGAAGATCTGAAGATAAGAATCAATAAAAATATATACATATTTATAAATAATAAATTCTTATGGATACGATTGATAAACTTCATTGAGGAATTATCTAAAAAATTAGTTAAAAATATTTACAAGACAAATTGAAAGCTCTAAAATTTTCCATTGAAAAAATAAATAATTTTTGTAGGGCCCCATTCCTTATATAATGGAATCATATACAATCAAGTCATCTTTTTTTTATAATCTTTTATTAAATTTGTTTTACATTTATGTATATATACATTAAAGCATCCTAGAATACATGATAAACGCATTTCTTTTCTATAATACAAAAAATACAGAGTTAAACAATGTCAAATATTTTCCTTTAAGTATTTCCTCTTCTCTGCTGCTTCTTCTTCTTTTTCTTCTCTTCGTCAACTGTTCATAATACAAACGCAAATAATATCGAAACAAAATGGGGGGGAAAATACTCGCACACACACACAGATACAAATAAAAGCTAAGGTAGAAAAAAATAATTATCAACTGTAAAGGAAAATTGGGGATTTGCTGTGTGTGTGTGTGTGTGTGTGTGGCACAGTCAATTAACAAACGCGCGCCACATAAATTTTAATATCGAATACATATTCGTTTTTTGGTATTTGTTTAATCAAGATAAACGAGCGCCGCGCCTGGCCACAGCGAGCACAGCTATTGGAGCAGGTGAGTGGGGGGGTGGGGTAGGGGGAGGGGGAGGGGCATACATACATACATATGTGTGAGAGTGTAGTGAAAGCCAGCACCAATCTTTGCGGGTTACAGGTAGACAATACATATTTATAAAGTATGCACACATACATATACACATACATACATATATATGTGTATATGTGTATATGTATATAGGTGTATATAGAGTATATAGTCGGGCTATAGATCCGGCGCCGTTTTCAGCATCAATGTGGACGTGTAGGTGGCCGTCTTGGCCACCGCCGACACCGGCTTGCCGTTCGCCTCCAGCTGTGGAGTGGGCGTGGTTGAGCCTGGCGGCGTCTCCTCCACATAGCCAACGGCGGTTACCTGGACCAGCGTTTTGGTCAAATGGACAGTGCGTTCACTCAACAGATTATTGTTGGCCAAGCCGTTGCCCCGGGCCAGCGGCTGGCGCAGCTCCCTGGCACGCCCATTGCTGCGCACATGCTGCTCCGCAGCATCCACAGCACTGGGATTCGCCTCCACAATCTCATCGTCGTCGCTGTAGTCGCTGCTGCGCATCGAGCTGGCATAGGAGTACGGCGACTGTAGGCGTGGCCCATTCGCATTCGCATTCGCGCTCGAGGTCCGCTGCTGCAGCGTCGTTGTCGACGCACCGGCCGTGATGTCCTCCTCGGAGATGTCATCGAAGGCGGGTGGCGGCGTCGACATGCCGGAGAGCAGAGCCAGGGCCACGGGCCGGCTGCTGCTGCTGCCGCCGCTGTTGCTGGGCGTGTTCGCGGCGTTCGTGCGATTGAGCGGACTGCGCAGCGGCTGCGCGGCCGACGTCTTGCGCTTCGAGGGGGAATGTTTGAGCGGAAATGTGGGCGTCTTCTTGAACACCTGCTTGCCCATGGCGTCCTGGAAGCGCTTCGCGTAGAACGAGGGCCGGCAGACGGAGACCGTGTCGCCGTTGTAGAGGATGCTCTTGAATGTGTGCTCCAGCTTCTTCTCCAGCCGATACGACTGCAGGATGTCGATGATGCCGATGTAGAGCAGCAGTCGCTCATCGTTCTCGGAGCGCGCCGGAATGCCGCCCTTGGGCTCGTCGACGCCCTCCTCGAGCGTCGCATCCAAATCGGCGGTGATCGACTCCATGGCCGTGGAATGAGCCACCAATCGCTGGCGATTCATGCTGCGCGTCCGATTCAGACCCGCCGCCGAGGTGCCCGGTATGGAGGCCGAGCTGGAGACGGTCTGCAGCTGGTTCACCTGATCCGCTTCGGGCGCATCGTCGTCGGGGCATTCCTTGCGCTGCAGCTTGGCTCTGGCATTGCGTATGCGCTCCGCCTTCTTCTCCTTGGCCGCCAGATCCAGATTGTGTATGCCCACCAGGAGCGAGTAGTCCATGATTTGGAAGCTCTCCAGGACCATGCAATCCCTCTTGATCGTGTTCATCAGCGCCGTATAGGTGTCCGTCTCCAGGAAAATGCCATTCGGATGGTGTTCGGCAAAGTCCAGATCCTTGTACGTCGGACTCGCCTTCTGACGCTCCGCCTTCGATGCCTTGCGCCTGAATGTCGAACCCTTCAGATCGTACTTCTCGTGCATCTTAATGTCCGACGGCAGCAGATTGTTCATCGCCACCAATCGAACGTTCTTCGAGTTGTAGTGGAAGCAGTACAGCCCGAAGAACTTGGGCAGCAGCGTGCGCGGATTCTGGGAGAGATTCATGTAGTAGCCGGGCAAGAGCTTCTGCAGGAATTCACACTCCTTCTTCTGCACCGTCTTGATGATGAACTCATCGTCGTCGGTCAGATAGAATATGGAGCCGGAGGCGCCCGGATTGGACAGCTCGCGCATCGGCGACGCGCACATCGACATTAGAAAGTCATCCGGCTCGATGTTGAACAGATCGCGAAAGTAACGGAAAGCGATCGGAGCATAGACCTTGAACCGAAAGTCGCTGTAGTGATGAGCGGGCGTCAGGGATGAGCCGTCGGGCGGAAAGGCGATCGTCTCCATCTCCCAGAAATCGTTCATCAGCAAATCTCGCTTCGGCTTGTTCGCCAGGCTGCCCACGGTGTGCTGTATGCCCAGCTGGATGGAGCCCATGATCTGTTTCGATTGGATCTTCTTGTAGGTCACCTCGCCGCCCTCGGCCACCCGCCGGTGGCCGATCTTCTTCTCGTGCCGGCCCGTCGTCGACGGATTTCTCGAGACGCTCGCATCCGGCATGGAGCCATCGCTATGAACCTTTGGCAGCTGTGTGGCAGCTATATAGTTCTGTTCCTGTTGCATTAGGGCCAACGATTCTGTGCCGCCGTGCCGAGCGGCGGCTTCCCTGAACAGCTGGCGGGATGTGCTCGCTGTGGGCGTGGCTGGTGGGATGGCGGGCAGCACTGGGCTCGATGGGGCAGCATCGATGGAGCCAGTGCTGAGCGTGACCTGTGCTCCATTGTTGTCATTGCTATTGCTATTGCTATTGTTGTTGTTATTTGTGGTTGCTGTTGTTGTTGTTGTTGTTGTTGTGAGCAACGGTTGCTGCTGTTCGATTTGTTCCTCCTTCTTATCAAGGGAGTGCAGCTCCAGCTGGATTTCTGTCTCCATATTGCTGCAAATTTGAGTTTGATTAGCGAACGGCGAACGGCCAAAACGAAATGGCTAACAAATGGCAAAATGACAAACTGACAAAATGGCTCTCAAACTGTGCAAATCAAAAGCAAATACGCGAATAATTGCAGCTCAACTAAGTGTGTGTGTGTGTGTGTGTGTGGATGATTAAGCTAGCTGAGGGTAATATTTATATATGTATATATTCATATATGTTTATGTCACGTCTTTAATTGCACAATAAATACCAATTACAGTGCACACTCAATAAGATGCACAGCGAGGTCGAATATTAATTAATATTGATATAAGCAAGATTTATTTATATGTATAGGTGAGTTTCTGATAATATCATATACATATATAAATTCTTTTAATAATACAATTTTATTTTATTTTATTTTTTTTATTTATTTTGCAGCTCATATACAAATTTAATTTTTGTATTTATATTAATTTAATTTTTTTACTTTTTATTTTCAGTTAATAATTGGAATTAAAATTTTTTTTTTAATTTTTAATATATATATATATTTTTTATAAATTAATATACATTTAATTTATATATTAATATACATTTAATTTTTTCGATTATTTAATATATTTGTATGTATTATTATTAAGATATAGTTCTTTATTATTAATTTTATATTAGCTAATAATTTAAACTAAAAAATTTTTTTTATAATTTAGATATTAATATACATTCAATTTTTTCGATTATTTAATATATTTTTGTATGTATTATTAGGATTATAGTTATTATTATTAAGATATTATAGTATTTTATTTTTTTATTTTTATTTTTTTTTTATTTATTTTTTTTTTTATTATTTTATTTTTATTATTTTATTGTTTTTTTTTTTATTTTATTTTTAATTTCGAGTCACTTTTTACTTTATTGCTATTTCTGTTTTCGATTGTATTTTTAATTGTTTTTACATTTCTCTTTATTTTTTTTCTGCCGCTGCATTCGTCTTTAGTGTTTACGTGCCCTGTTTTCTAAATTAATAAATAAAATCAGTTGAACGCACAAAGCTGCATTCAATTTTGATTAAATTGTTAAGCGAGTGCGAGCGTATTTTCCACTCTTTCCGTTCTCGCTCACTCTCTCTCTCTCTCGCTCCCTCCACCCACTCAGCAGCTTGCTAAGCAACTCTCTCTGCCCCTCTCTACCTATCTCCCTCACTCACGTTCGTTTTGTTTCGCTGTTTTTGGTTTCCATTGGGATTTATTTAGCGCTTGGCTTAGTCAGCAGCGTAAGCCCACCCATATATACACACACACACACACAGACACGGACACCACTTAATACGTTGCTTATCTTTGTTTACACAATATGCAACAAGAAGAAGAACAATTGCAAACACTTTTATCGCTCGCCCACAGCGGAACAGCGGCTAAGCGTGCCAATGCATGCCAAACTGTGCAGGCCACTGTTACTGCTGTTTACAGTTAAGTTTGGAAGACCAACTGTTGCTCCAATGGAATTTCAATTATTTCTATATATGTACAATGGGCAATCAATATATATAAATACATATTTTGTGATTTAGAAATGGAAAGCAAAAGTCTACGAAAATAAATTTTCATTTATTGAATTTATTTTTATACGCGACGTATGCGGAATTATGTATATAGTAAACGGAAAATTTTCCATATAATATATACGAACATATTTTATATTGTTCTGAATGAATGTATATTTGCCGTATACCAAAATGTGGGCGTTTTCTTGTATGTATTTAATCTTATCAGAAATACACGCATGGAATGCCTGTAGTTAAAAATACACACAAAATCTGCTATTAAGTAACACTTAACAGAATTTCAATAAAGACTTAAGAGAGTGTAAACTTTGCTCAGCTATTAACAGCGCGCTTAACAGTGCCATTTGACAGGGATGATGTATGTATGTGTGTGTGTGTGTGTCTAGCCAAGCTGTGGTATTTTGTAATTGTTTTGTATTGTAGCTGATGACATGCTTTGTGCACACATTTATGAGTTTGCAATTAAACGCGTTGCCTTATAGTTTTGTTGCCTTCTTAGTTTTTTTTTGTTGTCTTCTTTTTGCCATTTGAATAAATTTATTATCGTACTTACACATACAAATGCTCGAGGGGAAACGCCGACAAAGGTCACACGCATACACATGCGCACACACTCACACACACACACAAGCAACAATACAGCGCAGAGATATTTATGTATTTATATGCAAGCGCTTAGTAGCGTTTATTTGTGTGCGTGTGCGTAAGCGTGAGCGAGTGCGAGTGCAAGAGTGTGTGAATAAGCAACAAGTCGTCGACGATGTCGTCGTCGTCGCTGTTGTTGTTGGTAGGTGGTTTCGTCTAGCACTCCAGCTCTGTTGTCTGAGCGCAGCGAATTCTTCAATTTTCCTTCACTTTTTGTATTCGCATAAATGATTTGAACTGCGCTGCTGCCGCCGCTTCTTCTTTTGTTGTTGCCTGCCTGCACGATCAATGAGCGTTCTGCTTTAGCTTTTGCCTTTTGTTTTCTCTCTTATGTTTCACTCGTCTCGTTGTAGTTGGCGTTGTTCTTGCTGCAGCTTCGCTGTTTGTTGTTTTTCGATTTCCAGTTGATAAATTGCTTTCATAATTTACAAATCCAACAGCAATTTCAACGAGTGCCTGTCCGTGTGGTGTGTGCGTGTGTATGTCTGCCTGATGACGTCGGCGCAACGGCAAACAGCAAATTTCTTTTATGCTTCGCTTCAGCAGCGACCGCGACAGAGCCGCATGACTACGACCCCGAAAAATAATGAAAGCAACAACACAACACTCGCGCGCTCAACAACAACAACAACTAACTATTTTTGTAAGCATTCGATTTACTCAAACTTCAAAAGCAATAGAATGGCTCTTAATTTTATTTTCTATAATTCCAATGCTAATTTCTTTCTTTTTTCGCTGTAGAAACGCGACCGCACAGCTGGTCAAGTCGTACGCGCAGTGTGAGTCAACTTGGCAGAATGAACTTGCGCAGCGCCGAGACGCAGCTCACTTGTGCGTTAGAGCAGTGCAGCTAGCTGTGTGTGCCGCTGTGTCAGACTGCGACAACAAGCTGGCAAACAGTGTTGCTCTACGCTTACAATTGCTAGCGCCATCTAGCTGTCGTTACCAAATAACGATCAGGCCAGCGCCTATCGATAGAATATTTAAATACGTTACAATTTGTTCGCCTATTTGTTGCGTTTTGAAAAGTAAAGCTAATTAAGTTATATATGGATATTTAGGCATTAGCTGCTGCTACTGCGGCTTAGCTAATTAGATTAGGTCTGGCCACAAAGTGTGCCCTGAAGCCAGCCAAGCCACACCAAATGACCCGCCCACACTGTTTATGTTTGCTGTTGTTGTTCGTTTTGCTACTTTTTGCCTGGCGTTTATTTACAGCTACAATTTAATGCCCCTCATTAGCAGCAGCAGCAGCAGCGGCGCCGGCAGCAAAGTAAATTACAATTGATTAAAAAAAAAAGCCAGCCACAGAATGGGAATCGATATTTTTTCGTAACCAGTGATGAGTAATTTTTTTTAAATGGCGCCTCATAAAAATACAAAAAAAAAAAAAAAGAGACGAGAATTATAATAATAACATGAAAATGCTCATTACAAATGCCCAGAGGCTCAGGCGAAGGAGCAGCCTGCTGACCAGTGTTAAAAAGCGTACGAAATTTATGCGCATTCCGATTCGCTGAGCTGTCAATTTAACAGTTGTCTCAGGGGAGGGGAAGGGGGAGGGGGAGGGGTTAGGGTATTTACAAGGAGCAGAGCGGCTCGGCGCGTGTCTAAGCTCTATTTCACTGATTAAATAATTAAAGAAAACACTGCTGCTGCTTCTTCTGCTCCTCCTTCTCCTTCTCCTCCTTCTTCTTGTTGTTTATCTTTGTGAACTCTGCTTTTTGTTTAATTAGCGCATCGATAGGCAAAATGTGTCGACAAATCAAATTCATATGCAAATTCAGCAAAAATTACTAATAAAGTTGTTTTCTATTAGATAAATACCCAGCACCCCTCTCTCTCTCTCTCTACCTCTCTCTTTCTTGAAACTGGTTTTAGCATGTGTTAGATAACATTTGCCATAGCCAGCAGCATTCTTGATTGAGCTGGGGCAGCGGGCAGCGGGTAGCGGGGGGGAGCCTCATTAATTGCGCTTTATCGAAATGCAAATCAATCAAATATGGAATTCAGACACCCGATGAATACCCTGCAAATGCTAATACCTAATCAAGCACACTTAAGACTCATTTGTAAGCAAGTTTCTGGCTAAGTTGATAAATTAGTCTGAGTAAGCTGACGGATTGAGGATTGAAGATGTGTGCAGAGCTTAAAAGACGAAGAGCTGGAATACTAGACTTGAAGAACTAAAAGAACTAGAAGAACTTAAATACTAGACTTTCGTTTGCGTCAATTTTTGTCATATTAAAAAGATTTTTCTCTTTCCCCACTTAATTTTCACTTCTATTGGGAAATCCAACTTCCCTTTCCTGTCCAATTTCTGGTATTATTCAAGCACTGTCTTACATATTTTTAAGGTCTCTGCACCTGACCTTTTAATAAATTCCACCAAAAGCCCCTTTGCCCATTTATGTGTGCGATATTTATAAACTTTTATGGGGTATAATGTGTCATAATTTATGCATAACGCGTTGTCAACAGCCAACTTACTTAACGGCACTTTTCTTATAAGCCAAACACAATCGAGGCGACTGACCAAAAATATATTTTTAACTTGAAAAAAAAAAAAAAATTATGTTTTCTTTTGCTTTTGATATCTGTCTGATAACAAAAGCTCTGCCCGTTTAATTACCCATATATTAATACATATACGCATATATATATTTTTTATAAATAATCTTCGTATATTCATATGGAAAAATAAAAAATGAA